TCCCAAGCATTATGAAAGGCAGATTACTACGGATATCCGTAGCCAGAGTACCCGATTCTTGGGTCCTTCGGACCCGTGGGGTATCCCTAAACCCCTAAACCCCTAAACCCAAAACCCCTAAACCCCTAAGACTGCCATGCCTGGGACAGAAGGAAGCTGCAGTTCCCGACCGCGCCCTCCCGGGCGAAGGTCATCATTTCGTTCTCCTCCCAAGAAGAGAAAGGCTTTGGTTCTGGCATTGTGGGGTTTAAGACCCGAAACCCTAAACCCTAAACCCTAAACCCTGGGGTTTGGGGGTTTAGGGTTTTTTTGTGTGGGGTTTAGGGTTTAAGGGTGTTTTGGGTCTTGGGACCCGCGGGGCTCTCCACGGGGCCGAAAACAGGGTCCAAGAGCAGGGGGCTTAGGCGGCCTTCATGATGACTCTTGGGTCAGAGCTTGGGTGGAGGGTGACAGGGTTTAGAGCTTAGGGTTCAGGGGGTTTAGGGGTTTAGGGTTTAGGGGAGTGTAGGCCTTGTGGTGATTTGAGGCTTCATCGTTTGTGGCTTGGGGGGCGTTTGGGCATCCTTCTGAGGCATCTCCGAGAAAGGCCACGATCGGGCTTAGATGTCAAGGATTTGGGTTTCGGGGTTTAGGGGTTTAAGGTTTAGGGGTTTGGGGTTCATGGGTTCAGGGTTTAGGAGTTGGGCTCAGACGGCGATTCGGATGGCGGGTTCAGGCCGCGTGGCACGCACGCGCTTCGGGGAGTACATCTCCCTTGTGTTGTGGAGCTGTCCGTCCGCAGAACAGGGGCCTGATTGATTAGACTAGGGTTCTTGGGGTAAACTCCAGAGAGCAATACTAGTCATTGAGACTCCAACTCCTTCATAGACCCTGACACATCAAACAGTCACAGAAGCCCTTTTCAGCACCCTCCCGTTCGTACCTCTTCAGTAGGAGGTTCTTTTTGGTTCCCGCTCCTCGCTCCAGACGCCGCGCTCGTTGGAGTAGAAACCGGCCCACCACCTCGGAACTTCGACTGGGGAAGTCATCGAAAGGGTTTAGGGTTTAGGGTTCAAGGGTTTAGGGTGTAGCGGTTTAGGGTTCAAGGGTTTAGGGTTCAAGGCTTCAGGGTTTAGGGCTCAAGGGTAGCAGGTTCCTGGGGAGAGAGCCCAGATTATGAAGACTTCGCTTGCCCCGGGCCTTCTCCTGCCAAGCCCGGTTCCCCTCTTTACTTCCTCGGAGAGGCGTTGTACGTTTTGGGGCTTAGACTAACAGTGACTTTGGGATCTTGAGGGTAGAGCTTGGAGACATCGAATCCTGAGCCAAAGCCCTGAAAGTGGCTTTGAAGCGCGAAGCCCACAAGCCCGAGGAGCCCTGAAACTCTGAACTCCCACACTCCGTACTCTAAAACCCCGAAAAGAGGCCCTAAACCAAAAACCCTCAAAACTCCGCTGTGCCCGAAACCCCAACTCCCCCCAAGACCCCCCCCCAAAAAAAAAAACCCTCGTGCCCCCACACAAACTCCACAGGCGCCTATGCCAGGCCAGCTCATGCTCCTCCTGCGCAAGGTCCTGCAACAAACGACTTCGGCTTCGAGCTCAGGGCTTACAAACGGTTTAGGGTTTAGGGTTTAGGGTTTTCGGGTTTGCGGGACTTAGAACTCGAGGGCATGAGGGTTTCAGAGGATAAATTTAGGCGTTAGGGCCTAGGGTTTAGGTAAGTTTTATGGTCTATGAAAGCAGTCAGCAGAAAGTGCCAGTGCGAAGCTCAAAACCTCACCATAGAGCTGTAGGGCCCTTAGTGCAAGTTACCCCAAGGACCCCGAACCTTAAACCTAAAACCCCAAGCCCTGACCCTAAAACGTAGCCATAAATCCTAAACTCCCTAAACCCTAAACCCCAAACCATATATCCTCAACCTAAACTGTAATCAGGGTTTGGGGCCCTGATCACCCTAATCCGACAAGTAACCCGAAACTTTCGGAACCCGTCTCCTGGCAAACCGCGTCTCCCAGCGCCGCTTGGAAGGCGTCCGTTTCGATGCAGAGCTGCCGACAGCCGTTGTCCACGTAGAGCCCGGCCTACTGTAGGCTTGACAAGGTTTGAGAGGATCCCGATAGCGTTTTATCAGGATTTATGAAGGTTTATCGGGATTCACAAGGTTGAGAACAACAAAACCCTAGGGATTCTCCGGGCCCTACATTCGAGAAGGGTTTCGGGGCTGAGAGCTTCGGGCCTGAAGGTTTAGAGGGCTTCGGGTTTAGGGTTGTGGGGGGTTAGAGATGTACCCTAAACCCTAAACCCCAAAGCTCCGGCTTTTGGAGATATAGGCTTTAGGGTTCAAGGCTTAGGGTTTAGAGTTTTGCTTTAAGGTTGAGGGCTCAGGCCTCATGGAGTGGCTTTAAGGCAATGAACCCCTTGGGCTCCTTCAACATATGTCGTCGCTGAAAGCAGGATAACATGCACCCAAAATCGCAAGCCTCGTAAACCTTAAAACCCTAAACCCATCTAAAGCCTAAACCTCAACCCTAAACCGTACAGACCCTCACAGTTCAGGAGTTGTTGGTTTAGGGGGGGTTCAGGGTTCGGGTTTCGGCGTTCTGCTCACGGTCCGAGGTCCAGCAGTTAGGATTTTAGGGCGCGAGGGTTTAGGGTTTAGGGGTTTAGGGCTTAGGGCTTAGGGTTTAGGGTTCCCCTCGCGACAAGCACTTGCAGTTGCTTTGTGTTCCTTCTACTCGGCCACAGTGAGCTTACACAGGCTACCACCCGAAACAATACGCTCCACTCCCACCTGCGGCCTGTGGGGGCCTCTGCAGGCTTAGGCCGCTCGGAGGGTTTTGTGAAGGTTCTGTGAAGAGGGTTTAGGGTTTAGGGTTTAGGGCGGTCCGTTGGTGGTCTCTAGTGGCTTGGCGAGTCCCCTAAACCCTAAACCCTAAACCCCTAAACCCTACACCCTAAACCAAGGCCTGGCTGGGGATTTGGGGGGATCTGGGCCTTCAGGTCAGGAATGTTTTTACATCTCCAGGCTCAAGGCTTCAAGGATCCAGGAATCCAGCTTCATCACCCCATGAGGCCCTCGGAGCCTTAACCCTACGATAAGGCCAAGGATGTAGGGTAGTTTTCTAAATTAGGGTCCCTTTTTAGGTCCCCAATATAGTACGGCACCCATATAAAAAAGAACCCCAAAAGGGACCCTAATTTAGAAAACTACCCGTGTAGGGCTTAGCGCATCCGGTAAAGCCCTTCGAAGTTCTTGGGCGCCCGGCCAAAGGATCCACGCAGCCGCACGTCTGCGGGCAGGTCATGCGAACCCTGGGCTGCTCGTACTTAAGGATTCGCGGTTAGTGTTTAGGGTTTAGGTTTAGGGTTCCCCTATAGGGTTGAGGGTTGAGGGTTGAGGATTGAGGGTTTAGGTTAGGGTTTCGGGTTTAGGGTTTAGGGTTCGGTAGCTGTAGTGATAAATAAAGAAGGGTCTAGGGTGGTTGCTAATAAGGGAAGTAGGCCCAGACTGAGGTACCTCAAAACACACTTGCAGCTCCCCATGTACCTTCAAGTAAGCCCCATAAAACGAGGGGGGCACACGAACCTTGTGCAAAAACGAAGCACGCCAGGGACATATCCGGAGGCAGATACTGCAATAAAAGGCGGTGTGAGTTCGGCACTTTCCCATGACCCTAAACCCTGAATCCTAAACCCCAAGCGAGGGTCGCCTTCACAAACTGGCACGAGCGCCCCTACGTTTAGCACCTGAAGCTTCTCAGAAAGTCTGCCGTAAGATTTAAATGCTTCTCCCAAGCCCGACATTCTGCAGCTACATTAAAAGCATCCTGCGGCTTTCTTACGCCCCCTTCCTCAAGAAACGACCTTCCTCACTCTACAACAGAATCCGGATCCCAGGACCTTTCCGCCTCTACTGCCGAGATGTGATTCCACAAAATACGGTATAACTAGAGATCCGAGGCCCGAAACCCAAACCTTCGACTGGTTTCTGAGTGTTTTCGGCCCTGGGGCTCTAGGGTTCTGCGTCTTTGTTGCTGAACCTGGCACCGCAGCTGTCAGAGGCTTTAGGGTTCTGCGTCGTCAATACCGTACAGCCTTAGTCACCCTGAACCACTATCAAAAAACAAGGCCCCAGCAGCAGAGGCAAGTCCCGGCGTTCACAGAAAGGCTTGGCACTGGCACAGTCGGTCGCCCCGGTCAGGGTCTCGATGGTGGGCCACAGCCAGTCACCTGGACAATTTCGCGGATGCTGCGGCAAGGGTGTGGCGGTTGGTAAGTCTGGTGATTTGTGTGTGTGTGTACATGCATGCATGCATGCATGCATACATACGTACAGATGGTCGCGCCGGTGAGGGGGAAGGGGGACGCACGCGGGTGCAACTAGAAATACATTTGATACATATATATATTTTTTTTGTTTCGCATCTCTCTCTCTCTCTCTCTATCTATCTATCTATCTATCTATCTATATCTATCTATATCTATCTATCTATCTATCTATCTATCTATCGCTCTCTCTCTCTCTCTCTCTCTCTCTAATTACTTGAAACTCACAAGGAATCCGAAAAGCGCGCTATGACCACTGTCCCTTTCAACGGGGACACTACGGGGCTTCGCGCCATCCCCTGGGAGGGTCAGGCTGTCCGGTCCTTTCGGGGCCAGCAGTCGTGGATGCCAGGATGTGAAGTAGGGCCCAGGGGTTTAGAAATCAGGGTTTAGGGTTTAGGGTTCAGGGTTTAGGGTTTAGGGTTTAGGGTGCATGGTTGTTGCTAGCATCCCTCCAATAAACCCCAGACCGACACTCACCAAGATGCACTCACCAAAACCCCCAAGATAAAGCAAGGGAGTCTCTGATGCAAGGCCGCGTCTGTCTGTTCATTTCTGGAGGTTCAAGGTTTAGGGATGAAGTACCATGCTGTGAGTGGCTCCGGAACTTTGATGAAAGTCCAGATCCAAAGCTTGAAAAGACTGACACCCAGCGACCCTAATACGCTATCGGGCGCTGCTGCTAAACCGTGAATAGCGTGGCAATTGAAAACCCTAGAAGGTAATGAGCCCTAAACCTCTAAAAGCCCAAAGGCCCTCAAGCGCAGGAAGCCCCCGAAAGGCCTTCCCAAAAGTCTCGCGACCTGTCCTCACAGAAAGTTCCATAACTTCGGCTGCCAAAATCCGTCTCCTCCGGGGGGGCGCCACGGCTGTTTCGGACTTGGGGCCGGGATGGAAAGCCTGGGAAAGGCAGTGGACTGTCAGCGTGGGAGGGGCTCTCCAGAGTGTGGGGTTCTGGTGCATCAAGGCCCCGGGTGTTGTCAGGGTTTCGGGTTTAGGGTTGAAGGTTCCACGTTGAGGGCTTTGGGCTTTGAGGGTTAGGGTTTAGGGTTTAGAGTTTATAGGGTAGCTCGTCTACCACGGTCTGATAGCCTCTAGAAAACTGAGCACAGGGCTCAGCAGTCGCAAGGGATAGATTTTTCCACAAAAACCCTACAAACCCTATCCTACACCCTGAAAACCCTAAACACCCTAGAAACTGATCCAAACCCTCAAAGCCTAGCAATCCTGGACCCTAAGCACCTCGAGGCCAAACGCCGAAAACCAAAAAAAAAAAACAACCCTTATGGAGTGGCGCTGAGTAGGCTTTCGGAATTTGGGGAAGATGATGGGATTCAAACCTCCAGTGCTCCGGGCAGGGGTGTGGGGCTTAGGGCTCAGGGTGTAGGGTGTAGGGTTAGGGTTTGGGGTTCAGGATTTTACGAGGTTCAGGGTTATGCAGTCAGGTTCTTTGGATTTTAGGGTTTCGGGCTCCGGATCTCTGGGAGGGGCAGCTGAATCAAGGCATAGGGCATTGTCCGCGAAAAATTCTGTCGGGACGGAAACTTGGTTCCTGAGTAGCCTCTTTATAATAAGGGTACCCTTTTTCCTACTATTCGGTTTTAGTAAGGGGGGCCCCAAAATAAAAAGGGCAAAAGGGTACTACTCAGGGACCTAGGAAAGGCATTCACAGAAGCTTCGGGGGTTGATGTAACGGAAGACGAGGCTGAAGGGACTTAAAACTTCTCAAGTAGGGACCATTCCTCAAAGCACAGAGGGACAGTATGAATAAGGCATAGGCATAGACCCCATAAAACAACAACTTGCGCAACGCTCTAAACCTCTTCTAGAAACATCTTGAAATAACAAACTAGATTATACACACCCCCTATTGATACCAAAAAAGCCTAAATCCCGCCTAAACGAAAAAAGCTCTTCAGGCGGAGCGAGCACCGGTCTGAGAGTCTGAAAGTGTGGGGGCCTTGATGAAAAAAATGACAAGGCTATAGGGTATATTTTGTTATTACTAAATCAAGAAACCCTAAGGCAAGAATACTACTAATCATCAAGGCCCCTGTGGTAGAGCCACTTTGCTTTTTTGACTAGAACACGCAACCCTATGGCAATTATATCCCTGAGAATCGAGGCTCTCTTCAGAGTCCCACTGTACGAATATATCATAGTGCGGAACCCTAGACCCTAAATCCCAAACCCTCAACCCCAAACCCTAAATCCCACAGCCTCAACCCTAAACCCTAAATCCTAAGTCCTCAACCCTCAACTCTAAATCCCAAACCCTCAACCCTAAATCCCACATCCTCAACCCTAAACCCCAAATCCCAAATCCTCAACCCCAAACCCTAGATCACAAACCCTCAACCCTAAACCCTAAATCCCAAACCCTCAACCCTAAACCCTAAATCCCAAATCCTCAACCCTAATTCCCAAACCCTGGGCCCTGCAATTTCCGAACTTCCGAGGTCCTCAGTCGCCTGGCTCTCCGGCCTCGGCGTCTCAGGGCTTTAGGGTTTGAGGGTTTTGAGTTTAGGGTTTACGGTTTAGGGTTTAGGGTTTGGGGTTTGGGGTTTAGGGTTTAGGGTTTGAGGGTTTTGGGTTTTCGGCTTTAGGGCGTTATGGCTTCTGGGGTTTGCTGGCTGCGGTTTCAAGTCTGTTGGCTTATAGGGTTTATAGACCTGGAAACGTGGTTTAGGGCTTTATCTTCGGGGGCTTTCTTGAGGACTCCTTTCTACTAGGCAATGCATCCAAGACTGGCCGAGTCAGGCCCATTTTTCGGGCTAAGGGCTTTGAGAGTCATGGCGACGGTGCGCAGCAATGGGGTCCCTCAAACAACGATTCAGGTAACCGCCAGCAACCATCTTGAGCCGAAGCACATGTTCAGCCCGAACCGACCCGAAATCTAGACTCCCGAAGCCCTCCAGCGTCGTGGCGAAGGTTTCTCTTCGACTCGCGCAGGTCTAGGACAAATCCCAGCGACTCGGAAGCCATCTCAACATGTTCGGACACTCTAAGGTCAAGAACAACAAGACCCAAAGAGCTGCTAAACTGCCCCAGGCTCATGTCCAGCCACACCTGCATTTCAGTGACAGTGGGGAGGTGCTTCACCGCCACTTCGCCACGGGGCAGCGAGCTGCGCCACATAAAGTCCTTCACCTTCGGCTTTAGATCTTGAGGTTATGTTTAGAGATTAGGGTTTAGGGTTTAGGGGTTTAGGAGTTTAGGGGTTTAGGGTTTAGGGTTTAGGGGTTTAGGGGTTTTGGGTTAAGGGTTTAGGCTTAGAGATGAGGGACCAGGGAGTTGAAATCCGGGTTTATGGCTGAGCAAAGCATTCGCGTACCGCCCGCCACGGACGACACCCAACGTACGTACGCGGCGATGCGAAACCCAAAAGCAAGCACGGAGAGGAAGCTTGTGGTGTGCCTAGACCCAACAAAAAAACCCATGAGCGTGACACTTCAAAGCTTCAGGTGAGAACTGGGTTTGGGATGTTTCGACTCCGACCTCATTGGGGTCGTAGTTGAAGACGACGTCCTCCACCAAGTTTGCAATGCCTGGTAACATGTTCTCCGCATTCTTCAAGTCGTACTCTGTGGTGTCGGTCACAAAGATCGGACCGATCGTGGGGTGGGAGCCATAAACGAAGTCGCGGTTTCCACCACAGATCATCTCTCGCACACTCTCTGCTTGTCTCGTGTTCGGCAGCAAGGTGGTGGTGATGAGGATTAGAATCACTGCAGTCAGCACCACCAGCTTTAGGAGGCTTGAGAGGTTGAAGATGTACATCTGCTGATCCTCCTTCACCAGGAACTTCTGTATCGAAGCCATGTACTTCTTCGCATGGGACGGCACCAGCACCTTGTAGATCAAGTCATCGATCCTCGGCCGTGACAGGCGAGAAGTCATGGGACACTTGATGACTTGAGGAAATGAGCTTCGTCAGCATGCTTCCGACATTTCTGTCGAATACCCTAACGGAAGGTTTCTAGCAAGAGCCAGGAAGCTCTAGGATGAAGATGAGCGAAACCCCGTCTCGCAGGATGTTCATCACGTCCCTGGTCCGTGCCAGCCACAAGCCGGCTGAGACGCCTAGCGCCACGGCGATGAAGGCACGCATGAAGGAGACGAAGCACAAAACTATCAGCCGCTTGTAGCTGATGCTAACAAACATCCGGCGACCAAACCTCGGATCCGAGTTGCACTACAGCTTCGAGCTTCTGGGCACTTGGGGCTTGCAGTCAATGCCCGCTACGACCCTGGACCTTTGGCCGTTGAAGACGCAGTAGACAGAATTCTCGAGAGCGGCATTTGTACATGTACACTTCATCTATGGGTACAAAGGTGTATACATGCATACATACCTACATACCTACATACATCCATGCATGCATACATACATACATCCATACATATATACATATATACACATACATACATACATACATACATACATACATACATATATACATACATATATGTATATACAAGTTGCATATATATATATACATACATACACAGCTATACATACATGAACAGAGACTAAGATGTTCCCGTCGTCACGAAGCCAAGGGACTCTGTAAACTCAACTTTCGTGGTGCCGGTGCGCGGAAGTTGGAGGATGGCATGTGTGAAGCCGACGACGGTGTCCTTGGTTTCTGTGAGGGTGTAGGGTTTTTAGGTTTAGGGTTTAGGGTTTTTAGGTGAAAACAGCTGGAAACCCAAACCACGAAAAGCAAAAATGTTCCCTAACATTGCCCAGGTCTCCAACTCGACGAGGATGAAGCAGAACCAGATGATGATGGCCATGCTGGTGAGTACCTTCGGGTTAAGGATTTAGAGCTTGCCCAAACGCCCAAGATCCTGAAACCCTAGAGCTCTGTACAGATGCGTTTGGCTGCGGGCTTAGGTATTAGGGTTTGGGGTTTTAGGGTTTTTTTTTGCCACACCCTTTTCTTCTGCCCAGACGCCACGCCCACTGGCAGCTGATAGGAACCTGGAAACACCGGCTGCAAGTAGGCATCGACCTGGTTTCGATTCGTTTACGGTTTAGGGTTTAGGTTTGAAACAATTCTCCGGGGTTTTGTTTGGCATGCTCTAGGGCCTCGTTTTCATGCAATTTTCGGCTTGTGAGATTTGTGGCTGAAGGGTGTTACTGCTTCGGGCTTCAGGAGAAAACTGGCATTCCTGGCCGGCGTTTGTAAGAATTGGAGTTTGAGCTTGGGTGGCATTAGGGTCGTTGCTTGACAATGCACTGAACCCTTTGCTCTCCGCACGGATTCAACCGGAAGCAAAAGCTCACTTCCTTCCAGAAGACCCAACTTTAAACTTCTTGGGTTCTTATAATTCAGAAAGTAATCTGAAAGCTTAATCTTATAAACCCTAAACCCTGAACCCCTCTATTTCCCAGCGAATTAGGTGAGGTTCTGCGTTCGGACGCCAGTCAGGTGCAAGCCCACGGGATTGATTCCTAGACCTATGCGGTTCAAAGCGTTCAATGCAGGCTAGGATATAGTATAGGGTTACTGTTAGGAAGGTCTCAGAGAAGGTTCATGGGGCAGAGGCTTTAGGCTCAGATTTCCATGCAGGAGACTGCGGCTACCTGCCAGCGTTCATCAGCATCTTGCTTTATTCTCGTTATTATTAAACCCTAAAGCCTAAACCCACCAGGAAAGCACAAGCACCCTGATAAGCAAACACAGGGCACGCAAAGAATTGGGGTGCAAGGTTTTGCGTGTCCCTTGCAGTCTCCTCCGAACGACTTCACACTAATACCTTGGGAACCTTCTTTGCTTTCGGAGCAACGGCATGGCAATTGAGTTCTTACAAGATTCGAATGCAAAACCCTACATCATCGTATCCTTACGATGAAGACCTATAGAAACTGCACGCCCTGAAACTGAAACCCTAAGCCCTTAACCCTTAAACCCTACGCCCTAAACCCGAAACTCTAAACCGGAAAAAATAACGAAGATGCAAGAACTCTTCATGTCGGGGTCTCGAGCCTACGGTTGCAAAAAAGCGAAGCCACCTCGCTGAGAAGAGCGTTGTTCCACCACTCCCGTTCGAAGGGCCGTCCTATGGGATTGAGGGTTTAGGGTTCAGGCTCCTCCTTTGCAGTTAAGTAGTCAACAAAGGAGCCTTAATGGTCTTCTGGTATATTCTAGTAAAAAAGTTCCCCTAACTTGGGTTATAACTATAGTTACCCTACTTATAACCCCACTTATAACTACCCATGAACCTCCAAGTAAGGTTTCTGAGAGGCTGTCCTTTGCACACCTTGCTCACCAAGGAAGAGCCCGAGGTGTGGTCGTAGGAGTGGACGCTGTGGCCGTAGTAAATGCGCCACTCCCTCGCAGTTTGGAAGTTCGGGCTCAAGATCGGCTTGCGCTTCTGTGCTTCAGGCGAAGACAGGGCAATAGGGCGGGGCTTAACTTGTTCGTCCATCCGCAGCATGGCTCCTCAAGTACGTCAAGTCGTACTTGTCGTCGTCAGACAGGAGGTTGCTGGAGACCAGCCAGCAAAACCTCAAGTTTGAGCCCTGGGAAACATGTACTTGAACTTTATGAAGCCCTCCACCCCACACCGGAACACCTATGAAGTGTGTTGAGAGCTGAAAACTCACCCACACCCACACAGAAGTTTCCTCGACCTGTGCACAGGCTTCAACAGAACAGCTGCAAGACAACTTTATGACCATGCCAGCAGCTAACCATCAAGAACTGCGCCTTGCGACATCAGGAAATGATAACTGTGCAAGTCCGTGCCCCCTACAAGCAAGAAGCCGCCTTTATCGGCATCGTAGTATCACAAGAAACGAGAAGAGGAGAGGAGGAAGCCATAATAACAAAAGTAGCAGTGGCAGGAGCAGCAGCCGTAGATGTAGCAGTAGCAGTAACTTTGGCAACAGCAGCAGCAGCCCTGGCCGTGGTCGTAGCCGTCGCCGCAGCTGATAGCAGTAGTGGTAGCCGTGGCAGTAGCATTAGCAGCAGAGGCAGCTGCAGCAGCAGCAATAGCACTAGCAACAGGAGCAGAAGTAGCAACAGGAGCAGAAGCAGCAGCAGTAGCAGCAGAAGTAGCAGCAGGAGCAGTAGCAGGAGCAGTAGCACTGGCAGGAGTGGTAGCAGTAGCGGTCGTGCACAGCAGCAGAGGAGTACCAGTAGTAGCAGTAGTAGCAGTAGCAGTAGCAGTAGCAGCAGTAGCAGCTGAGAAGTGGCAGCAGCAGCTGTAGTAGAGTACCAGTCTAGTGGTTGACAATGTTTCTTCAATGAAATACCAAGGAAACAAACCCGCCGACCACGCTTGTGGGGGCGAGTGCCAGGGAAGCCGCTTGCATGGCAGGTTATCCCCCACCCCGCACCCCAGCCCCCGTTTACACCCTTCCCCACGCTCCTGCCCCTACCCTATAATCTACACACCTTGTACCCCTGTTCAACCCCCGAAACAAAAACTAGTTTCTATTTTTTGACGCAAATACGCCTTGTTTTCGCCCAAAACAAGTCCGTGCCTGTGCCCTGTCTCTTACTACCTCACCCTCTCGGCCCCCACCCCACTCTTGCTTTCACGCTCTCCGTCCCTACCCCCTGCCCGACCCCGGCCTTTGCCCACACCATCACCATCTCCGCTCTCTCCCGGTCCTTTTGTATTACGTCCTTCACGCCCCACCCTGCCCTGGCCTTCCTCCCCTTTTCGAAGATGTGTGTGGCTCGCTTAGCCCTCCGGCTTCTTGCCCCCTACTCTACTACACCCGGTCCACCTCCCCTACCCCCCGCTTCAGTTTTCCAGTACACACCATCGCTCTTGTGGACAGACCGAGCCGTCCTGGACAACGCGCACTCGCGCTTTCGCCCGCGTCATGAATTCGCAGCCGCAGCTTGGCCATGACACGATTCGTCGAACTGGACCCGACACGGTACTTACCCGCCCTAGCCTTCCTCCCCTTTTCGAACTTTTCGAAATGAGGCAAACATGCGTTTGGTTCGTGAAAAAGGTCCTAGTCCTGGCCCTGGCTCCCTAGTCCCCTACCCCCTCCCTTAGCTCTCCGGCTGCTTGCCCCCTACTCTGCAACACCCGGCCCAGCCCCCTACTCCCCTCGCTCTGGTGGACAGACCGAGCCGTCTGGACAACGTTGCAGACAACGCACGATGAATGCGAGAAGTGCACCAGTTGGCTGCAGAGCCGAAAACTTGCAGGCTGCTGCGCACTTGCAGTCTCAATGTCTACTATGTGTGATTCTCGAGCTACATGGGGTTTACATGCCAGACGCCGCTTCCCGGGGTCGGCGGCAGCGGCGTCAGCCCTTAATCGGGCAGCGCTCGGTCCCCGAGCGCACGCGTCCTGTGAGTTCCAGGCTTAGCCTGGGCATAACTTGCTTTAGCAAAAGGCGCGACCGCCAGTGCCGCCGACCCCACCAGCTTTCGAGTTTTTAAGGGCGCAATCATGAGCATCAGCGGCCCCAGTCCCTGGGGCCACCGGGGAGGACGGGAGAAGGCTCCCTCCGTCCTTGCTACATGTTGTTCTAAGTGGGTTGCGCTTTGAAGCTCAAGTTTATATCGGTTTGTCCGGGCTGCTACCTGCGCTACCCGCAGGTGGGCACAGCCCCTAGAATAACAAGAAAGCAAGCAAACACTATAGCCAGGCAGCAGCAGCTGCAGGAAGGCAGCCGCGAAGACGCCAAAAGCAACCATCAGGGAGCCCATGCTGCCGATGTCCGGCAAGCCCAGCAGCCTAGTGCTGTAGGTCTTCAGGATCTTAAGGTTCTTGGTTTAGTGCACAGGCCTCGGAGTTTCACAGGATAGCGTGAAAACCCAAACCAATCGTTCTAGTGTTAGGGTCCTTATGATGATGACACACTCTCGACGTTGTGGTGGAAAGATTTACGCGGGTTCTTGCGAAGGTAATCTACTACCATTACCACTTCCACTACCACCGCCGCCACCACCGCCACCACCACCACCACCACCACCAATAATACCACCACCACCACCACCACCACCACCACCGCGACGACAACGACGACGACGACGACGACTACTACTACTACTACTGCTACAGCTGCTACTGCTGCTGCTGCTGCTCCTCCTGCTACTGCTACGACAACGACAACGACGCCGACGAGACGAAGCGGCTGCTGCTGCTGCTGCTACTACTGCTACTGCAACCACAACCACTACCAGCACCAGCACCAGCCCCAGTCCCAGTCGCAGTCCCACTACTTCTACTTCTGCCACGACATCATGGTCATCATCAGCAGCAGCATCGTCATCATAGTCATCGTCATCATCAAACTCGTGTTCGAAGCAATGACTTTGTGAATAGTAGTGGTAATTATGATAAACAAAGAAGTAGCGATAACAAAGGTAACAAGAGCAGCAGCAGCAGCAGCAGCAGCAGCAGCAGCAGCCATACAGTTGCAAACTCGACGGGAAGAAACTGCTAAACCAAAGGCGGTAGGATAGTACGAAAACACAGTAAATACCACACACGGGTGCTGGCAAGAAGGCTGTAACTGACACCCCAAAAATGCAACCTGAAGCCGAAAAGGTTTTCAGATTAGAACCAGAAGTGTGTGCACCAGGGTATCGTTATTAGTTATCATTTTCCCTCACCCGCCTCACCCCACCCCGTGACTCCCCCTCCGAAATTCCAAGCTCGAGTTTGCAAAGTCGACAAGTGAATTTTGAGTGCACAGCAAGTGTTGTTGGAAAGGGGTGTGATTACTCGTTCTCCTCCCCTTGCTACCGCTAGTGCCACTGTTACCACTACCACCACCACTACTACCACTACTACCACTACTACCACTACTACCACTACTACCCCTACCACTACTACAACTACCATTACTAAAACCACCACCACCACGACCACCACCTCTACCACTACCACTACCGCTGCCACTAGCAATACCACCACCACCACCACGACGACGACTACTACAGAACCACTACCACTTCTACTACTATTACTACTACTACTACTACTACTACTACTACTACTACTACTGTTACTGCTACTGCTACTGCCACTGCTACTGCTACTGCTGCTGCCACTACTACTGCTACCTCCTACTACTACTACTACTACTACTTCGAATTCTACTTCTAATTCTACTACTTTGATGAAGTATGAGA